AAACTATATAAATAAATAAATATATAGATTTTTTTTTTTTTTTTTTTTTTTTTTCATTTTAATGATAACTTTAAACTTCATATATTAATAAGATGAATTTAAGATTTAATTTGAGGTATATAAAATATCATATATATTTAAAATTATAGCAATGGTAAAAAGAATATTTGAAACAAAGAATTCAGAAACAAAGCAATAAATCAAGAACATAAACATACAATTACAAGTAGTCATAACATATTGTGATTTATTTTTTTTACAGTTTAATACAGTTTTACACTTCCATCTTTTAAGGTTGGGTTACTTTGAACCTTCAATGGTTGCTTGCGCTTCTATTTTGTGGAACCTTTCTTCTAATACAGTTCTGAATGCAAGTAGAGAGGCATGGTTCCTTTAATCACATGGAATAGGATCAAGCAAGTGGGAGGGTGGCAATGTTAGCTCCTCTGGATGATGTAGGTGTCAAAGGCAGGGGAAGATGATGAAGGCTCTGGCACAGCAAAACACTGGATGTCTGTCTGCAGATTCCACAAAGGAGCCCAATGAATAATCCAAGTCATCAGGAAGGAAACCAATATAACCAAGCTTAGTGGATTTGTAAGTTGTCTTGCAAATCCTTAGATTGGTGCCATGGTCACCAGGGAATGTCATTCAAATTGATATTTCATGTGTAAAAATAATAATCAAATAGAGTGTAGCAAGCATCCTCTTAAAACCCAAGTTTAAAGATAGAAACTACTGGGTATTATGAAACTTCCTTGCCCTGCATACCATAAACATGCACTATGCTTATTAAGTCATGTTATACTTTAGTGATTTTTTTGCTGTGTAATTTTGGTTTCAATAGCTTTGATTTAATAATGTTTGTTTAGAAAAACTTGTTGTTGTTGTATATATATATATATATATATATATATATTGTCACAATTATTATAAAAAAAATTAAAAAACTGTTCTTATATATATATATATATATATATATTTATTCTTATTGTTATTATTGTAAGATTTTTAATTTTTTAATTTTTTAATTTTTTTACTTTTATTAAAAACATTATATCTAAGAGAAATTTTTATTGCTAAGATATTGTTAATTGAACATTTGCACATGCAGTGTGTTACAAATTTTTTTTTTTATTGGATCAACATGTTCCACATGTAGTTTCTTCTCCCAGTGTGCAGTATTCTAATGCAAAAAGAGCATTGATTCATGCAGAATATTCAATTCCAAAGACAACCTCATTAGTCATACTAAATTCTGAGCATCAACTGCAGAAATGTATCTTTTAGAGCAAAGCTAGGGTGGAAAAGGAAGTAGACCTTGTCACTGAGAGCAGAACGAAAGAGTGAATTTTGGGGGGGGGGGGGGGGGGTGGGTGTGTAAGCTCTCTCCGTAGGTATGCATGCTCTGTCTGAGTACTCAATCAGTCTGCTTCTGAAGGAAGACTTCTTCAGCAATGAGACTACTTCTCATTGAATTCATGTGCTAAAGAGACACCACCACCACCACAGGACAGACACATCCGGAGGTCCAGCTCTGTGTGGACCTGATCCCCCACTAACTTGAAGAGACTCTTTCCTCTTGATCCAGTCAAAACTGAAACCTTCCATTCCATTGTGTGTGACTTCAAACTGAGTTACTAAGGTCAAGACCTCTCTGCCCTGAGTAGAGTCCATACATCCTCTAAACAATTTTTTCTTTTCAATGTGTATATTACATTAGGAGGTATAGAACTTGTTACTTTCCAAGAAACCATAATATCTCAAGTAGAACAAAAAAATTCTATTGTGAATATTGCAATATATACTTATTGAAGTTTATTTCAATTATTTTTTAAAAAATGGTATGTAATGTTTCTTTTACTTTTCTTATTTTAATCTGTTTAATGTAGAAAAATTCTTTTAACACAATCTACATATGTCACTTGGATATTGATTAGCAGTTAAGTCAAATTTAGATTTTTTTTGTTATGTAATTATTCGTTTAAGATATTTTTTAAATAAATACTTTAAAATATTTTTCAGTGATAATTTAAGGGATTTTATAATTTCAATTTTTTTATTTTTTTATTTTTTATTATTAAAATAAAATTTACTTTACATATAATTAAAAAATCACACTAAAATTATTGAATTTATTTTTATTATTGGAATGATAAAAAAATAAAGAAATTTGTAGAGTTGGTGGCCAATTGTAATAGTAGATGACTCCTTTTAAGTGACATTGTGAATCTAAATGGCATCTCAAAGTATATCCAAGATAATTGAAAAGTGTTCTTAAAGCAATGCCAATAAAATCATTATGATTTTTTTTCATAAATTATTTTATTGATCTTTAAGAAAAAATAATATAAATAAAAATTATATGATATTGATTTCTACGTAATAAAGTGAATACCTTCAATATGTTAATTTATTATAGAGTTTTTATTTTATTTTTATTTTATTATTATTACTTTGATCAAAATACAGGAAATGCTGCATTTTTTTTTTTTTACGTTTTGTTAAAAAGGATTCTTGTAGTGATAAAATACACATGATTTATTTTATTCTATGAAAATTTTAATTTTATCTTCACACATTTAGCTTACTCTTTATGAGTAAATTTTCTAAAATATCTGTTAATAACTATAGTTTATGTTATCCAAAATTATTTTGTATTAATATATATATATATATATATATATATATGTATGTATATATATATATATATTTTTGTGTGATTAAGAACTTATATCCTTGCACATTCCAAACCAAGAAACCACTAGTAGAATTTATATCTAAAAACTTGATTATACCTCATTATTCTACTTGGCTGCAGTTAAAGATTAAAAAAAAAAAAAAAAAAAAAATAGCAACAATTTCTTTGAAATAATATTCATTTATATTAATATTATATCATATTTTTTTTGACACATTCCACCTATGTATTTTATTAAATTATTTTATAAAGTGTGTAAGATTCTAATACTATTTTATCCTCTTTTTAAAATAAATTTATTTTAAAAAATTTATTGTTTATACAGATCAATTTTTGATTATGTATCTAAGTATGCAATTTTTTTCCAATTTTCTGCGATGACTTTTTTTTTCAATTTTTTTCCATACGATTTCTCAAAAGAGTACATATATATGTATATATATATATATATATATATATATAAATTATTTTTTAATACTTTGATAATAATAATAATAATTTACTTATTTATGTTTATTTTTTTTTTCTTCTGAATATTTGATTCAAATTGTATAAATAAAAATATACAAAATATGTATATATATATATATATATATATAAATATAAATATTTTTTATAGTTTTTTTTATATAATTTTTATAATTATATTTTTAATATCTTAAATTAAAGATGGCATATGACTTATTGTATTTTAGCTTAAACACATTTTCCAGGAATAGTTTTTTTACTATAAAAATAAATTCAATTGTTTTACAATTGTATATATTTTTATAAATAAATAGATTAATAAATAAATAAAATTTTATGCACTTATGAAATACATGAACTCGAATATGAAATTGTTCATAAAAGAATATTTAAGAGATACTGATGGGACATTTGATTACTCTATTTTAAACATACATAGATGTTGGATATCATGTATCATGTGAAAGGACAGGTGTGAGAATGGAAGGATCTGTTAATCCACAAGTTGTGTAGATGAGGAAGTAGATATGAGAAACATGGAACTAAATCCAGGAAGAGAAAAGATGGTGGGGAAGGAAAAATAAAAAGAAAGGACTCCCACAAGCCTATCCATATGTTGGAAGACATAATCTTTTTCTTCTTTGCCTCCTCCTCCTCCTCCTCTTTCCTATTCTTTCCTTATTTATGATTTTGTTTACTGCTCCCACTGGATGAGAGCAAGAGAGAGAGAGGGAGGGAGGGGGGGAGGAAGAGGGAGTGGGGAGAGGAGAGGATGATGATACCAGGCAGGTGAGCATTGGAGGAGCAACACAATACTATACAATACAATGCAAAGTGGGGGGGGGGGTCCCTTTCTGTGATCACTTTGGCCCACTCACAAGGCAAGGCAAGGCAAGGCAGAGGAGAAGAAAGATCTCTCTCTTTCATTTTCTCTAGCTCTGCCTGCCTTCCTGAATGCACTTACCAGATGATAACTGTTGAAGAGCTAACTGATGTGAAGAGGACATGTGCAGAGAGAGGCAAAAGGATTCCATGTGCTTCTCATGGATTCTCACCCCTGTGTTTCCTAGAAGCCCTTCTCTAAAGCCAAAAACATTTTCTAGACAGTTTTGTTCATTTAATTCAATAACTGCAATTGAATTATGCCTGGTTAAATGTTGTGTTAATTTTTCAATTATTGTGTATATTGAAAAAATAATTTGAAGCAAATATAATTGTGAAAATTCTGGAATAAATATCTATCCATAATTGTATTATAATGGCTTCAAAATACTTGTTCAATATACATTATAATTCTAATAGAGTTGTTCTAATATAGTAAAGTGGTATGTTTTGGACAAACAAGATATTCAATAAATTACATGAATGGTTTTAAAAAGTTCGAAATGAAAATAAGTTAATATTTTCTCACTGTGTATCAAAATGTGTTATTATTTTCACATTGATTGTCAAAACCAGTTGTGGTAAAAAAAAAGAAAACTTGGAAATCTCTAATGCTGAAGATCGGCTTTCACGTTTGCATTGCAGCACTATCTTATTGGACGAGTGAGAATTTCAAGAGTTAACTGTTAGGAGGTGATTCTTGTAGCAACTACCGTTTGTCAACTTAATTTAACAAAGGCAGATCCCAGCTCAATTGGAGTGAGGGAAGGATGTCATCAGTAACTTCTAGAGGAGAGACGTTTAGTTGAATATGTGCCGACACCATAGTGATCAATGCTCTCAGTCGGGGAATCTGGTGCGCCTTTGTTGTCGATAGTGAGTGTTGGTACCTGAAAGCCTTGGATATGACACACATTTTGATGTTGAATATCTTGATGGAAGCTGAGAATTGAGATAAAGCACTTGGAGCCCTCGGTTGAGCAACTGAAGTGATGCTCAAGAGTCCCTCAAGGCAGCCTTTGCAATTTCAATTTATTCCAACACTGTGTATCAGCTAGAATCACTCTAGTTCTTACTGTTTACATCCGACATTTATCACTTTGCAACTTGAAGAGAACTTGCAGAAGGCAACCCACAAAAAAATCCCATATTGATTCATCAAGGGCTGTATGATGGCCGTGAGAATCAAGGGATAGCACACTCAACATTTACACCCATGCCACAACCATGTCCGCTACATTACTAGATGATAGAGGTAGATGGAAACCGTCTCCAAGGTGTGACTAAAAACGTGTGATGCACGAAACTCAGCTGAGAAACACACAACCTCGATATGTAGCTGATTCTGAGTGAGAACAAGCCATTTCCCAAATAAGGAGCGCTTTCAACTTTCTCCTTGTTTTCACAACGCACGTGTTTGAACGCGGATCAAGCGGATCACAAGTCTAGGAATAACTCTCGAAGCATTTTATAACAGTTGCCAACACCAAGCATATGATCCGTGCCGTTTCCTGTTTCAATAAAAAGTCCACGATAAATAATCACGGATATGCAACACCACCATGGCTTCTGCGTATTCATTTATAGGGAATTATAATTACTAACTAGTCACCTAGTCACATACTTTCTTAGGAAGGATCATCCCTAAATTTCCAGGTGCTACAATGATTACGAGTCTGTTTAGTTTAACGTAGGCAAGAATACGCAAAACCTTGGAAGATCAGGCAAGCAAAATATAGGCCAGGCTAAGCTGACGATCGTTGTAGTGCTCCATATGTCCACATGAGGGGAGTAAAGAAAAAAGGACTTCGTGATTCAGACTTCAAGGGTCGAAAAATTTAGCCGGAAGACACGCTGAATCGAGAAACAGCTGCTGAATATGAAAGAGGATTTACCATATCCTCTTTCAATCAACCCTGTCATAAATTCCAGATTTGATATAAGAGAGATTCAGATCAGCTCCGTAAGCAACAGAGATTGCCCGCACTCGTTTGTCATTTTCCATAAACGTCACATAGAAAGCGAAATCCTTGTGCACAGCAGCATTCGTGGGGGCAAATATAGTGACATTGTTGGGCATGTACACAAGCGTATAGTTAGCTGCTTCTTCTTCGTTCAAGCCCCCTTTGAAGCCTTGCCACTCAGCCTCCCGCAGCCTCCACTCTAGCTTTGGACTTATACTCTCTTCGGGGCCTCGGTAAATCCCTTTTGGCTCCTCCCTGGTGTCCTCCAATGGATCCCTGCAACCCCTCGCAATTACTTAGTCGACGATGTTCATATAATGATGAGACACAATCTGAGAGACCTCAACAGAGATCTACTCACCTGGTTTGTTTCCAAAGAGTACCAGTCCACGAAGAGTCCATCCTTTCCTCATGGTCTTGCACCTCCTCCAGAAGAAGAGCCACTCCCAGCACACCTGCACTGTCGTAGCCCACAGGGACAGAGATTCTTTGCTTGTGATCTGTGAAACAATTTATTCATTAAGAATATCTCTTTTACTGAGTTATGCATCAATCATATTGTTTAGGTGAAGCCTAAGTAGGTTCAAGGCCACCCCTCACAACTACCAGCTGCAGACCCTATGGCACCTTCAGGTAGATGGGCGTTTGTGTTCCTTACTGACATAAAACATTGGCTCGCTGAAAATGACTGATCTGGGATCATTTGGCTTGAGGTACATTTGAATCCATCCGAGGTTTCCAGAGGGAAACAAGAGGACGCGGTGATCTTTGGAATTTGGGTGCAAAATTCCATCATGTAAGGCGTGCTCCTCCAAAGTCATGTGCCAGGGCCCATACTCCCAGTTGACGTCTTTGCCAAACCCTCTAGCATCATACCACTGATTTCTGTGCACAGCCAAACACGGTGACAATTTATATAAGATAGATTCGATATAGGGCAGCATCAAATCTAAGTCCATTCCAACGAAAAGCACCGTGAAGGAGAGCAAGCCATAAGTTACAACCTGTGGTACAGCTTCGTCCGTTCAGGGTCAACAATCTGCAGTGACCGCACAGACTTGTACTCTTTGCATACTTCTTTCGACTTGGTTGGTTGGTAATTGATCCAAAAGCCATGCCAGTGCTTCCAATGTGTGTCGGCTTGCCAGTACCACAAGTCGCGAGGAGTAACTCGAACTACGATTTCGTTGCCAACAGCCTTGGTATCGGGCATTTTCCATTTTTCAGCTGGAAGCTCCATGACAGCTACCTGTATGTAGTGTTAACATATGAGGCATTCCGAAAACTCCACAAATGGTACTATGGGCCTCACGAGATATTTCCAAGGGAGGATGTGGTGAAATTAGAACTTAATCCAGGTATGCAGAAAAAATTCCTTGTAAACCATCAAATCCTTAACACAGACATAAGGGTACACGCAAACCTCGAGTATGAATGCAGGAAAGGAACGAGTGAAAGAGAGAGAGAGAGAAGGAACTCACACAACAGAGAAGGAAGCAGAGAGGAGGAGTGGTGTGATGTTGAGATAAGGCTTTGCGACAACATACAGTCCCTGCTCAGACGGACACACCAAGCAAGTTCAAAGGAACAAGCATCGACCAAAAAGGACAGACGGGCCCGTGAACGCGCGACGTGGCGGATTCAACGAAGCCCGTGCTCTCGTCCGATGACGACCTGGATGTGGCACTCATTACTACCATCACGATCTTGTGCTCTTGATCTCGATTGTGCCCATGATTCCGCTGCTGCTGCTCCTGCTACTGGGTCTCCACCACCCCCTCCACACCACACTCCCCGCCATCCCTCCACTCCACTCCACACTCCCATTCATTCTTTCAAGCAGGCCATTAGCATTCTGCTACCCTCTCCCCTACTTACTTTTCAGTCAGATATGTGTGCTTTAACCTCTGACTTTTTGATAATATATTAATCTTAAATATAAAATCAAAGCTTTCACGTAAAAGTGGAATTATTGATCACCACAACAATTTATTAATAACTATTATAGTATGTCTTAGAATTCACATATTTGCATTTTGAAATTTCTTTTGATATCTTCATAAGAAAATCTTAATCTGTGTTTAAAAAATTTCTTAACAATTTTGACATATTATGGATTCTAATAATTTTTTTCAAATATACATAAGTTTTGATTCTTATGACTTATTGTATAAACAAATGAATTATTTTATAATATTTTATTCATTTGTTCATAATTTATAATTACATATATTAATTTCTTTGATCATTTTTAAATTTAAAATAAGATATATATATATATATATATATATATTTATAGTTTTCTACATTGATGATTTGATTATCTAAAAATTGTATCTATTATTGAAGAAAAAAGAAGAAGAAAGTCTCAACATTTAGCATTAATAAGGTTGCTCTCAAAAACAAGTGTAGAATAGGATAATTCTCACTTTTAATACTCTTCATATATACGTGGTGATATATGATATCTTATCTAATATCAAAATATTTGTTGGATTCTACTTAGTACTAAGATATTCTTTGGTATTGTTAGAGACATAGTCCTTAGAACCTTCTAGAAGCAAGTCTCTGGAAACTTCTAGAAGCTTCTTAGTTGATGGAAGTTGCTTGAGAAGCTTCCTAGTTGGTAGAAGATGTTAGGGACATAGTCCTTAGAACCTTCTAGAAGCAAGTCTCTGGAACCTTCTAGAAGCTTCCTAGTTGGTGGAAGTTACTTGAGAAGTTTCCTAAATAGGAGTATATATTGGAATCAAAGCTGAAGAGTTCTTCAGTCTCGACAACACATCTCTTGGAGCTCTAATTCACCTCTCTGGTGTTGTTCTTGTATTCATCTGATTAATCTACTTCTTGCCAATTCTTCTTGAACTTCTTGTTAGATCTCAAGCTTGTATTTTTGTGTCCATGATAATTTCTGTGTCCATGACAGTTTGTCGAGACTGAACTCACCTCAGATATCAGAGCTAGTTTCTTCCTCGTTAGAGTGTGAATTATCCCTCTGCTTGAAGGTGTATTAGCATTTTAGAGGTTGCGGATTACCCTCCTCTAAACTGATACTTCTTTTGTTACAATATTAGAGTCTTATTATTCTTGGAGAGAGTGGATTATCCCTTTTTTTGAAGCTCTTAAGGTGTTTTAGAGGTTACGGAGTACCCTCCTCTAAACCAATATTGTCTTCTTATAGAGTCATTTCTGTCCTTCTCTTAGAATGGCCGGAGGCCAAGACATTAGTATGACGAAAAGTTCGGAGTCCAAGTTGGATGCTATCATGAATGCCCTCGCTACGTTATTACAAAGAACTGCAGAGATTGAAGGAGTTGTGGCAAGGCTTCATAATGATGGAGCATTTAGGATGGCACAATCTAGGTTGCACCAGCCTTAAACTTTTGCACTTGGAGAAGCAACTTTGCCTCAGGTTCGACAAGTACCGCTAATTCTACAACATAAGGAGCCCTGAATTAGCCTTCCGGACAAGTTTGATGGTACGCGTTCCAAGTTTCGAGGATTTGTCAATCAAATCAGGTTGATATCAGTTTTATAGTCTGAATGCTATCCAACGGAGGAGTCACATATTGGACTCGTTGGAACCTTACTTACAAGGCAAGCTCTATCATGGTTTGCTCTTTTGTTTGAGAAACGATTGTGAAACCATACTAAAAAACTTTGAAACCTTTTTGGAGGTATTTACAGAAGCATTTGGTGAATACGACAAGGTTCGATGGGCTACAACAAAGATCCGGTCACTACGAGAAGAAATGCACTCTACATCAGTCTATGCATCGAATTTTAGGGAATTAGCATGCGATATCAATTGGGACAAAGAAACATTGATGAGTCAATTCTATTGGAGTTTAAGGGACGATGTGAAGGATTTGCTGCTAACTCTTCCTGATCCGTGAATGCTCAACGAAGCTATTAGTCAAGTTGTGAAGTGCGATAACTACCTATTCTAACGTCACCAAGACCAACGCTCAAGACAACTTACAATTTGCCATGCTCCAACTATGTCGACAAGCAGCATGAATTCACATTCAAAGGTAGAAGACATGCAAATTGATGTGGTACGTGTCAAATTCCTTACTCTAGAAGAAAAATAGCAGCGTATGGAGGAAGATCTATGCTTATATTACGATGAAGAAGGCCACAAAGTTGGAAACTGCCCCAAGAAGTAAAATCGATGCACTATCAGGACTAGGAGCACATTTGTTCAGAAAAATGAGGATGCCCAGCCACAATAGGAACCGTGCGACTGGACAATAAAATATCACAATAACAACCAGGTTCTTTTTTTTTTCGACTCAACCTGCCCTTTAATTTATAATCCCTTTGTTTATTGGCCCTCAAAAATTGAGAACCTTAACATTATTAGATTCAAGAGCATCTGCTTGTTTCTTAGATGAAGAAATTGCAAAGTGTCATAAGATCTCTTTAGTAAAAAAATCCAAACCTGTTCACGTTGAGGTCATAGATGGACGACCTTTATTGTCTGGTAGTGTCACCCATGAATCAGAACCTATAGAAGTGACGTTCAAGGACCATAGTAGTCATATTATTTTCAATATTATTAGAATCCCATCGAATCCTATTATTCTTGGTCTTTCTTAGTTGAAAAAGCACAATCCATCCATAGATTGGAGGTTGCAGAAGATGACCTTTTCCACAAAACCACCCAAGAGCAAGCCTAGTAGAAAACCCCGAATAGAGAAATCCTTATTCATTGGAGCAAGAGTGTTTATAAGATCGTCTAAGGAAGGCACACCATTTATCATTTATGTGGTTCTAACTATCGGAGAGAAGATCTCGACAGCAAGTATACTGGAACAATATAAGGATTTTAAAGACGTGTTTCAAAAGAAGAATGCCGACATGCTACCGGAACATCGACCATATGATTGCGCCATAGACTTGCAAGAAAGAACACAACCGCCTTTTGGCCCAATCTACAATCTATTGCAGATAGAATTGGCGGAATTGTAGAAGTACATCGATGAAAATCTAGCCAAGAACTTCATCCGTCATTCAAAATCGTCAACTGGGGCACCCATCTTATTTGTGAAGAAGAAAGATGGCTCGTTGCAGATGTGTGTGGACTATTGATATTAAAACATAGAAATTAAACTCCAAAAAAGCAAGTTAGGACCAGCAAGGTTGCACTTCACAAATCAAGTGTGGTATGAGATAATTCTTCTCATTCCAACCTCTTGCTTATATTCTAGTATCAAGGTACCAAGTGCTACAACCCATATGGGATATTACCTAGGACCAGCCCTACCCTTGTACTCTAAGGCACTATGGACCAGCAACTAACATTATGGGATATCCCTAACAATACATATATTCTATTTGACTATTAGCAACTACTTGAAGAGTACTTTCTTTCAACACTCCCACTTTGCTATTGGTCAATTACCTATCAATCCTAATGCCTTACTCAACATGTTGTGTCTTTCTCTGACCAAGGCTTTTGTCAACAAATCAGCCAACATGTCTTTGGTTTCACAATACATCATATCAATAACCGCCATCTCTATCTTCTCTCTTATGAAATGATGCTGAATATCAATGTGCTTGGTTCTTGCATGATGCTTTGGATTCTTTGCAAAAGCAAGACATCCTTGATTGTCACACCTCAATGGAGTGGCCTCCAATTACACAAGTCCAATATCTTCCAATAACAACCTCAATCAAATTGCCTCCATTGCTCCATGACTTGCTGCCATGTACTCCGCCTCCATTGTGGACCTTGCAATGGTTGGTTGTCTCTTACAATTCCAAGATATGGCTCCCACTCCAACAAAGAACACATAGCCCGTTGTTGACCTTCTATCATTTGCATCTCTAGCCCAATCCGCATCACAATATCCATGTAATGCAATACTATCTCCTCCAAGACATAATTTGAGGTTCAAAGAGCCTTTTAAGTACCTCATGATTCTCTTGATGGTTGCCCAATGCATAGGACCTGGTTTTGCCATGTGTTGGCTTACCACACTTACTACAAATGCAAGATCTATCCTTGTACCCACCATTGCATACATGAGTGAGCCTACTGCTACTTTGTATGGTATGCCTTGCATTTGATGCTCCACTTCAGCATATTCCTCATCCGTGAGCTTCAACAACTTGAAGTTGGCCTCCAAAGGGGTTCCAATGGGCTTGCAATCTCCCATGTTGAATCGTTTCAACACTTCTTCAATGTACTTGCTTTGGCTCAATGTGATGGTCTTTGACACTCTATTTCTTGTGAATTCCACACCCAAATAATAGTGGAGCAAGTTAGGACCAGCAAGGTTGCACTTCACAAATCAAGTGTGGTATGAGATAATTCTTCTCATTCCAACCTCTTGCTTATATTCTAGTATCAAGGTACCAAGTGCTACAACCTATATGGAATATCACTTAAGACCAGCCCTACCCTTGTACTCTAAGGCACTATGGACCAGCAATTAACATTATGAGATATCCCTAACAATACATATATTCTATTTGACCATTAGCAACTACTTGAAGAGTACTTTCTTTCAACAATTGAGGCCTCAACAAGATAACAAAGAAGAATCGTTACCCGTTATCCTTGATTTTTGGTCTCTTAGAACAACTTGGACGTGCAAGAAACTTTACAAAAATTGATCTAAGGAGAGCTT